CCGCACTGAGTCCATTCATACTTTCTACCCCTCCGGAGGCCGTGCTTTCACCCGCCGACCGTGAGCTTTCACGGGCGCCACTTTGACCCATACACCAGGCGCCACTGTCTGGCTTTAATCATCCCCCTTCTGTTACCCGTGAATTTTCCCAGCTGATTCGCAGCTTCGGCAGGCTGGCTTCTATTTGCGTCAGGTGGAAATTGTGAATTGACTGCTTTGCACGTTTGGGTATTGATTGATCTGTTAGGTAGAATTAATTGTTTGATAATTGAGGCGGGATAATAAAACGGTTGGATATTTTAATTTGTCGAAAAATATTCTGGTCTTGGAAATTTTTGTTGGAATTTCAAGGAATTTCATTATTGAAAGCTTAAAAGTTCATGGAAAAATTAATGGATGCTGTAAAGTTTAGTTAAATTACGATACTTTGAGCCATACACTAGGCGCCAGTGTCTGGATTTTATCATCCCCCTTTTGTTACTCGTGAATTTTCCCAGCTGATTCGTATGCTTGGGCTTCTATTTGCGTCAGGTGGAAATTGTGAATTGACTGCTTTGCACGTTTGGGTATTGATTGATCTGTTAGGTAGAATTAATTGTTTGATAATTGAGGCGGGATAATGAAGCGGTTGGATATTTTAATTTGTCGAAAAATATTCCGGTCTTGGAAATTTTTGTTGGAATTTCAAGGAATTTCATTATTGAAAGCTTAAAAGTTCATGGAAAAATTAATGGATGCTGCAAAGTTTAGTTAAATTACGATACTTTGAGCCATACACTAGGCGCCAGTGTCTGGATTTTATCATCCCCCTTTTGTTACTCGTGAATTTTCCCAGCTGATTCGTATGCTTGGGCTTCTATTTGCGTCAGGTGGAAATTGTGAATTGACTGCTTTGCACGTTTGGGTATTGATTGATCTGTTAGGTAGAATTAATTGTTTGATAATTGAGGCGGGATAATAAAACGGTTGGATATTTTAATTTGTCGAAAAATATTCTGGTCTTGGAAATTTTTGTTGGAATTTCAAGGAATTTCATTATTGAAAGCTTAAAAGTTCATGGAAAAATTAATGGATGCTGCAAAGTTTAGTTAAATTACGATACTTTGAGCCATACACTAGGCGCCAGTGTCTGGATTTTATCATCCCCCTTTTGTTACTCGTGAATTTTCCCAGCTGATTCGTATGCTTGGGCTTCTATTTGCGTCAGGTGGAAATTGTGAATTGACTGCTTTGCACGTTTGGGTATTGATTGATCTGTTAGGTAGAATTCATTGTTTGATAATTGAGGCGGCATAATGAAGCGGTTGGATATTTTAACTCGTCGAAGAATATTCTGGTCTTGGAAATCTAGTTGTTAATGCAGCGTTGGAAATTTTTATTGGAATTTCAAGGAATTTTATCATTGAGAGCTTAAAATTTCATGGAAAAATTAATGGATGCTGTAAAGTTTAGTTGAATTATGATACTTTGAGCCATACACTAGGCGCCAGTGTCTGGATTTAATCATTTAGCTTCTGTTACTCGGGAATTTTCCCAGCTGATTCGCAGCTTGGGCAGGCTGGAAATCGTGAATTGACTGCTTTGCACGTTTGGGTATTGATTGATCTGCTAGACTGTTAAAAATATTTAACTGAATTTTCCAGAAAATGACACTGAATTCAATTTAATGAAAACAAGTCTATGAAATTTCAAATTTCCCTGAAAATTCAAGGAAATTCCTGATTTTTCAGTGGAAGAACCATGACGATTCCGAAATTTCTACAAATTTTCAATGTAAATACGATAATTCAATAAGAAATTGCTCTGAAATTTCAAAAAATTGAAAATTCAAGGACATTTTTGCTTCAATTTTCCTCATTTCCATTAATTTTCATGGAATAATTTAACTGAAATTTAAAATTTCCATGAATTTTTCACGAAAACCATGAATTTTGAGTGGCAAAATTCCCTGAAATTTCAATGAAACCGTCACTTGTTTCATATTTCAAGACTAAAGTCTGGAAACTTCAGTGAAAATTTTTTAACAGTGTAGTTGAAATTGATTGGTTGATAATGAATTTTTTTGCACTAATCAATTTCTTTTTAAACATATATAATCGATATTCAATGTACACTGTTAGAATTTTTTTGAAATTTCATGGAAGATATTATAATAAATCTCATGAGAGTGACATTGAATCGGATTTAGGAAAAAAATGGTTATGAAATTTCAAGTTTTAACTAAAATTCACCGATGTTTCCTAACTTGATTGAATTTTCTGTGGAACATGAATGTTCAGAAACAAAATGACACAAATTTTCAATTTTTCCCTGAATGTTTCGGATTTTTCTGTATTTTTCGCAGAATAATTGAACTGAATATCAAGTATCTTATTGACTTCCAGATCATTTGACCAGAAAATCAATGGAGTATTTGATTTTTCAATGACAAAATTTCCTGAAATTTCAGTGGAACTTGAAAACGATAAAAATTTCCGGAATGTGGCACGGAAAATTCAGACGAACATTTTTAACAGCCCGCGACTTGTAAAACTCATAGTAGTCTTTCCTTGATTATGAAACAATTAATCGATCTTCAATGCATGAGAAATCTCTTTTTTCAAATTCACTTGGCACCCGTAAGGGTAGACGGAACCCCTTTGTCTACATCAGATCTTAGAATTGTGTTTTCTCCTACAATTATTAATTTCTATCTATGAAATTACTTTATCGACCCGATTATCGCATTGTTGAGTCAATGACGTAGTTTAATGAATAAAAAATAATAACTGCAGGAGAAAACACAATTCTAAAGATTCATATAAACCAGGGGTTCCGTTTCCCTTTAAGGCGACATAACGAAGCGCTTGAATATTTTAACTTACCACAGAATATTCTAGTCTTGCAAATCTGGTCACTAATACGCGGTTGGAAATTTCTGTTGGAATTTCACGGGATTTCATCATTGAAAGCTCACAATTTCGTGGGAATATTGTGACCTGCAAATTTGGGTTGAATTATGACAATTTGACTCATACACTGGGCGCTGTCTGGCTTTAATCATCTCCTCTCTGTTACGCGTTATTTTTCCCAGCTGATTCGTATACTTGAATTCAATCGTGGGTATTATGAATTGAAATTATAATTATTATGAGTTGAGTGTTAATTAATTAAAGTCAATTGTTTGATAATTAAGGCGAAATAATAAAGTGCTTGGATACTTCAACTTGTCGCAGAATATTCTAGTCTTGGAAATCTGGTCATTAACACACTGTTGGAAATTTGTGCAGGAATTTCACGGGATTTCATCATTCAAAGATTAAAATTTGATGAATAAAACAATGAGAGCTGTAAATTTGAGTTAAATTATGACACTTTGACCGATACAGGCACCACTGTCTGGGTTTAATCACCTGCCATTCAATCGTAGTTTAACATCAGGTCGAAATTATGAATTCACTTGTTTCACTCGTTCGGGTACTGATTAATCTGTTAATTAAAGTTAATTGTTTGATAATTAAGGCAAAATAATAAAGCGCTTGGATATTTCAATTTGTCGCAGAACATTCTAATCTTGCAAGTCTAGTCACTCTGACGCATTTCGATAGCTCTGCTTTAGCGACGCGCACGATCGGAAATTTTTGTTGAAAGTTCACGGAATTTCATCTATCGAAGTTTAAAATTTAATGGAAAATTTACTGGGGTACTGATGTGTTAATTAAAGTTAATTGTTTGATTGCTTGGATACTTCAACTTACCGCAGAATATTCTAGTCTCGCACCTCTAGTCATTCAGACACATTTTGATAGCTCTCCTTTAGCGACGCGCACGGTCGGAAATTTTTGTTGGAATTGCATCACCGAAAGTTTGAAATTTCGTATAAAAATCAATGGGAACTGTAGATTTTAATTGAATTATGACACCTTGACCCATACATTAGGCACCACTGTCTGGCTTTGAAATTATGAATTGATTTTTTTCACACGTTCGTGTGCTGATTGATCTGTTGATTAAAGTTAATTAGTTAATAATTCAGGCAAAATAATAAAGCGTTTGGATAATTTAACTTATTGCAGAATATTCTAATCTTGCAAATCTAGAGATTCCGACACATTTCGATAGCTCTGCTTTAGCGAGGTTCACTATTGAGAATATTTCTTGAAATTTCCGATTCAACTTCTCGGAAATTTCCACCTCATGAAATACTATCATGAAAAATTTAATTAAATTGTCAATTCAATTTTTAATTTAAAATTTAAATTTAAATTCAATTTAACTCAATTTGATTTTTTTTGGAAAGTTTTTTTTGGCGGTTTCAATAATAATAATAATAGTAACAATAATGAAATGTGCTAATTATAAAACTGAAAAATCAGTTATTTGAAATAATAATAATTCTTTTCAGTAAAATATAATAATAGTGTAATTAACTAAATAAGTTAATTATTAATTTAATTAAAAATTACTCTATAAAAATCAAATATAGAAATCCGAAAAATTAAGGAAACTTCTTGTTCCTCTCAAATAGAATTCCCATCCGCCCTCCAGCCAAATAAAAAATAAACCCCTTAAAATTCAACATTTCTTCCAACACCGTCCCTAGCATCCACTTTTCCCCTCCAATTGATTTGCGCCCGCGTCAAAATCGAATCCCTCTATCAAAGTTGATTCTTTCACAAAATCAACTTCCATCGCTTCCTACGGATGTCCCCCAAGTAGGAAGGAAACGAGAGACAGGATACCGACTCACCGATAGAGAAAACATTAGCCCCAGATGATAACAGTATGGTACATCGTACTTCCTGCCCTTTCATTCACCCGCGCATTGTTCTCACTCTCCAAAAAACGCCGACGACACCCCAAATTCAATCGCAACAATTTCCTGAATGATTGCAGGTAGCCTGACAGGTGAGGATTTGTCCCTGGAGGAGGCAACAGCCGACGACGAAGACACCCAGACCCGGGATCACCATCACCACCACGACAATCAGGACAGCGTGACAGCAGGCCAAACGTCATCGAGTCCCCAGCGTCACCACCAGGACGACGTTGATCGTTGCAATGTCCTCCAAGGTGGAGTTATCCTGTACTCATCGCCCCACTCAACGGTATCGTCAGCGCCCACGAGTGTCAACATCTGTAACGTGCCAACCCTGACGTACAGAGGTGTCTTCACGACGACGTGCACTCAATCCTCGACGCTGAACACCCTCCAAACCCCTCAGCAGCAGCAGCAGCAACAACAGCAGCAGCAACAGCAGCAGCAAGCGAGCCAAGAGCTCTGGGGATCGATTCCCTCGCCGACGGCTCTGACCCTGACCAGTCAGCCATTTCTCCATCCCACGCTGCACCCCTCCCCCTACGGCAACGAGACCGTTGAACTCCTCCAAGTGGACTCAAAACCACCTCCACCACCCCCTGGTTACCACGACACACCTTCGTCAACCCCCACGACTTGGCTGAGCCACGAGGACAGCTACGATCCAAATCTACTGTCCCACCACCACCAGCCCCATCCCCATCATCAGGAGCCGACACTCAAGCAGGAGCCAGTCACAAATTCAGGGTATACACCCAATGTTCAACAACACCAGCAGCAACAGCCGCAAGCGCAGCAGTCGTCGACCAATTCGGGCGCTGTTCAGCTAGCTGAGTACAACCCAAGCACTTCGAAGGGGCACGAGATACTCTCGCAGGTTTATCAGCAGAGTGCTTTGCCACTGAGACTTGTGCCGGTTAAGCCGCGAAAGTATCCCAACAGACCCAGCAAAACACCTGTTCACGAGCGTCCTTATGCCTGTCCTGTCGATGGCTGTGACAGACGTTTCTCACGGAGTGATGAACTCACTCGTCACATACGGATTCACACAGGTCAAAAGCCATTCCAGTGTCGCATCTGTATGCGCTCGTTCTCCAGGAGTGATCATCTGACGACACATGTCAGAACACACACTGGGGAGAAGCCATTCTGCTGTGATCAATGTGGTAGGAAATTTGCGAGGAGCGATGAGAAGAAGAGGCATGCCAAGGTGCATCTCAAACAGAGGCTCAAGAGGGAAGCCAGCCACTCTAATTCGAGGAATCATCCGCAGTCCCATGCTTCGTCGCCTTGTAATTAGGTTATTCCACTTTTTTTTTTCAAGTCGTTAATTGTTTTAAGGTTGAGAGCGATCGAGAGCCAGTACCGAATTTAATGCGTTTTATTGATCTCTTTAAATACTCAATGATGGTGTTACGTGCCCTTTGTCGATACCCTGTGTCTTTCAATCGTGTGACTGGGCAATCGCTTTGTTATCTCGGTTGGGGAGGGGGGCAACAGGAATTGAAGGAATTTTGATTTTAAGGATTTCCAAGGACTTTGGCTGTTTTGATTAAGGAAATCAGCGCTTTCATTTGTGATCATTTAGACCACAAGTTTCCGGACATTTTACAATGCTTTTATTATTTAAATTGAATTTTAGAATGATTTATTATTTTATTCTTGTTATTGAATCGTTAGAAAACATTTTAAAAATTATGGAAAAAAATGAAAAAGTTTAGTTTGGGGGAAAATTGATGAAATAATTGAGAAATTGCAATTGTTTAAAATTACGAACATTTTCTGTGAATAAACAATCCATTTTTTATGATAAAAATAATTTGTTTGGAATCGGGAGAAATTCATTCATTTTCAGAATTTTTCCAGAAATTGATTTCATGCCCAAAAAATTAGGTTTCAAAAAGTTTAAGCAATTCCAATTGTTTATTTATAAACAACGAATTAAAAAAAAAATTCTAAATAAAATGTAATTTGAATAACGTTGAATATTCATGATCTTGTTCAATTTTTTTCATGCAATTTAATTGACTAATTTGATGATTGAAAATGGTTGAATCTATAGTCTGCTCGTAAGAAATGCTTGGATATCCTTGAAAAAGCAAAATTTTATGGAAAAATCGAGGGAAACTGGAAATTTCAGGACAATTGCGCCAGGAAAATTCATAGAAATCAGGAGTTTTCAGGTGAATATTTTTGAATTTTTAATTAAGGGACTATTCAAATATTTTGTCACGCATTGCTCTCTTCGCGTGCCTAAAACATGCCTTTTCCATACATTGTGATGAAAAATATCGTTCGATACTCGTGGGAAAAGTGTTTTTCATCACGCTGTGTCGAAAAGTGAACTTTTCGCCACATTGTGATGAAAAATATTGTTCGTAACGAGTAAAAATATACTATTTTGGCTCGTGGGAGGTTTATAGCACGAGCCGAAGGCGAGTTCGAACGACATTTTTCATCGCAATGTGTGAAAACTGGGACTTTACACACACGGAGAGCAAAAATTTCGCTTTACGCACAAGTAATGAAAAAATTTAAAAAAAGAGAAGGACTAGATGAACAATTATGTTTTTTCCTAGAAAAGGGGACAAGATCAAAATTGCATCTGCGACTTTCTCGCTTAAAAGAGAAAAAAAAATGCTCTGCCATCACAACCGCCTTCTCCCCCTAATCGTCTGACGCAATATCTGAACGCCCCCTTGACTGAAGATTAAACTTTAACAATTCTGCTCATCCTAGGAAATTTACCGTCACTCTCCTGAAAATTACTGGTCAACTGTCCGTGAAATTTCCACTTCTTCCGCCCAGTGCAATATCAATCAGACATGACTCTGAACATCTGAGCTCCAATCACGTTGCTCTACCTTCTCCCAACCGATTTCTACTCCCTTAAAAAAAAAACTAACGTCAGGATAACGCTATCCTCCGTTAAATTGTGCTCCCCGTGAACCGGGCACGCTAAATCCCGGCCGTACCATCCAAAGTCCGATTTTTTCCAAAAACGAAAGAAAACGAAAAAAAAAAGTAAACAAAAAAAATTGTACGTTGAGTCAACGGTAATACACGACTCCACACTCACCGCTATAAAACCCCTACTGATTGTGAGATGAAAGCAGAATGTTACGTTATAAAAATTATACATAGATATATTATATATAAAGTTTAAAAAAGTGAAAAAAAACACGCAAGTGTAATTATCGATGGTGATTTATCGTTGTTAAATGGGAAAAAAATATGACTTTTTTTTCTTGTAAATATGTATATAATATGCCGTATTATATGTATACATAGGACTATGTGTAACTGGCTGCAAGACACAGTGAAAACCGCCAAAATGTGAACCGCTAATGCAAGAAGTTAAAAAACAAAATCACAAATTTTAACGCTGAAAATAATAAATTTTACGTCCCCATCTACTTTCTCCCTCACACCCTTGCGTTCGACACCACACGGAGAAAAAAGTTCAATAAAAATTACCAGAAAAAAAACGTAAAAATTACGTTTCGAAACGTAATCCATGAGCGCAATAAAATTCAATAAAAAGTGTGAGTCGGAACTGAAATTGTACGAATCGCCACGTAAATTCTACGATTTATTCTGTAAAAATCGTTCGTTCCGTAATTTTTCCCCAACGATTGAGAAATTTTAGGAACAGAACGTGAAAAAAACTCACCAACTTCATAAAAATTGCTGAACGTTCAAGAATTTGTGATTTTGAAGCCACAATAAGTCAGCAAGTTTCTGTAAGATTTGACTTCTTCGGGAAAAATGACGTGACAATTTCGTACTTTGTTCGGTGATGAACCTGAAAATTCACTGAACGTTTCAGATTTCTTCTCTTCCATTCCCATAAAAATTGCCGGAAGACGACTCCCCATTGCGGATTACGTGAATTGTTCCGTAATTTTTACTGAATAATTCTCTCCGCGCACAAATTCAACAGTAAATTAGCCGTTGTAATAGTCTTTGGTCGCAGTTGAAACTATTTGCCTAGTATTATACTATTATACATATGTGTATACATATGATTGACGCGATAATTAATATTATGTATATGTTGCTCTATTTATTAACAGAAAAAAAAAAGAAAATAAAATGCGTACCTCAGGTACGTTGATTATTCTCGCGCACACAGACACTAGCGTAAAATACATATATATTGAGAATAACTATATGTGTATATATTGTTGATATAGAATGAGTATTTTTATTACGAAAAGAAAAAATAATAAATTAGAATTGACGAGAAAAAAAAAATTGTTTTAATTAGAAGGGGAAAAGACGTTGGATGAGAGATGAATATTTCAGAGCTTAGTGATGTGTGCGCGTCTGATCCCTTCGCCTCCTTTTCCCCTTTGCAATTTCTTGCCCTTTCCCCTTGAAAGAAACTCCCCCGTCCACCCGTCAGAGAATACTTTTTTACAAAGAATGATATTATCCTATTCGCCTAGGTAAATTTAATGAACCACGTAAAAAATACAACAACAAAAATGTGAAATATAATATTATTATATACACTGTTTTTTTTTTCGTCAAGTGCAATGCACGTAAAATTCGAAAACTACCTGTATTTCCAGTCGTTGTCGTCTCAGTGCAACATTTGAGCGCTGCCTACGATAATTATTAACATGAGAACAAATACAAGTTAACGATGATTCACAGAATTTACAATTTTTTGAGTGTTTATTTTTATACCTGACCTGTTTACATTAATGCTGAGAACAAAATATTTTTAGGGGTGAGAATTTATGGAGAATTTCCGGAGCATTTTAAATGTTGGGCTTGTGCTTAGTATTATGTTGCGAAGTTTTTTATTTTTTTTATTACTTGTGCGGAAAGTGAAATTTTACGGACGCGTAATGTTATGGTGAAAAATATTATTCGACACACGGCCTGAGAAACCTTTTCTAGCTCATGTGATTGCAATCATATTCACCAGAAAAAATTTTTTTAGGTCTTATATCGAAATGCACTTTTTACGCACTCGTATCGAAATATGAAATTTTTAATTTCTTCAATTTCGTGAAGGCCGTTTTTACAAGAGCAAAAGTATCTTTGTGATATTTGCCTGAAAAATTCACTTTTTGAAACAGTTTAGTGTGCGCAAAGCGGTCGTTTTCCGCACGACGTGCGTAAAGTTCAAGGACGTGCGTGAAGTTTCGCACAAATTCATTTCAGGCACGAGAATTTACTTTATGTACGATAACAAACACTTGATAAAAAGGGAATTTTTACGCACTAGTAATACAATATACTATTTTGTGATATCTGCCTCAAAAGTGCACATTTCGAAACGGTTTAGGGTGCGTAAGCGGTTGTGTTTGGCACGGCGCGCGAAATGTTCACGAGCGAAAAGCGAAAATGAGAATTGGCTTTACGCACACTCTTGAACTTTACGCGCTCCTGCGCAAAAACAACCACATTACCCGCACTACCGTTCCGAACAGTGAATTTGGCAGGTACCAAAAAAATTAGGATATGATACCCGTGCGTGTGAAAAATTGGAACTTTACGCCCTAGTAACATAATGCACTATTTCATCACTCGTGCGTAAAGTGAGATTTTACAACGCGCTAGTGTAGTAAATTCATATTTTGCGTGCGCAAAATCCGACTCTCCACACTTTATGATGAAAAATAGGACTCGACACTCGTGAAAAAAGTGCTCTTCGACCCTCGCCAGGGGCCAAAAAACACTTTTACAAACTCGCATAGAAACACTATTCTGTTACTACTGCGTACACTTACAGCGAATATCTCAAAATCTAAGGGAGATATCGAAATTTTCGTCATAACCTTTTTTGTAGGGTGAACGGAGGACTACAAAAAAGGTCCTGACAAAAATTTCGTTATCTCCTTTAGATTCAGAGGTATTCCCCGAAAATTCAGCTGAGGGTTAAATCGACTAAAACTGAATTCCCGAAGAATGTCTTGAACCTTTCAAACATCAGGCTCATGCTTCGCATTACGTTGCGGAGTCTTTATTTCTCTCTCCACTTCTTCAACCTCCTGGAAACCGTTTTTGCAACAGAACATACTTCAAGAATTCACAAGATCTCCACCAAAAGGTGTTAATTTCCTTCCATCAAAAGAAAAAAAAATGTCCTTAAAAACGAAAAACAATTTTCATCACCCTCCCCCTCTCTCCAATCACCCCCCCTCTCAATTCAATAGAATTCAATTTCCTTCGATCTCGCTCTACCCCCTCGCGCAGCCCATTGGCGCCATTTAATTCCACTGCATCCACTCCGACACTATCACAAACCCAAGAAGGCAAATGGCAAGACCCCAACACCTCTATCCCTCCACTCCCCTTTATCAGCC